AACGTCTTGGACGAACTTACCATTTTCTTGGATTTGAAGGATGACCTTACCTGCTTTCCCCTTGCACATGCCTCACAAACTTTGTCTTCCTTGAACTTGATATTAGGTAACCCTATAACCAAGTCCTTGGAAACTAATTTGTTTAGCTGATTTAGACTGACATGACCAAGTCTTTTGTGCCACAGGAGGGGATCATTAACTAACACACTTAAACAAGTGAGTTCATTTTCTGAAAGAGTGGACAAATCTACAATGTAAATATTGTTAACTCTTTTTCCCTGCAAAACAATCTTGTCAGTGGTAAGGTTAATAATAAAGCATTTGGTGGAGGTAAAAGCCACAAGGTTACCTTTGTCACACAGTTGTGACACACTTATTAGGCTATATTTCAAGCCATCTATCAGGTAGACATTCTCTATGGCATGAGAGTCTGTTTTGGCTACCTTTCCAACCCCAATGATCTCACCTTTCTTTCCATTACCAAAGGAGACATTACCTCCCTTTAGGTCCTCAAGTGAAAGGAACTAGTCCTTGTCCCTATTCATATGTTTTGAGCAACCACTATCCATATACCATATTTGGCTCCTCCCTTTCACTTGGACCTGCAAAAGGAAATCAGGGGTTAGTCTTAGGAACCCAAACTAGTTTGGGTCCCTTTCTATGGGCAAATGGATGAATCAGATTCTTTCTTGCCTAACTAGGCAGCTTGTGCTTTTCTTGACCAAAAGCTTTATTTCTTTGACTGGCCTTTTCTTTTACATTACATTCATATTTGTAATGGCCAGTCTTACCACAGTGTGTGCAGATTTTATTTTCAGGAAGAGTGAGATACTTGCTTTTTGGATCCCATTTTGGAGCTTGAGTCCCATAGCCAAGTCCTCTTTTGTTACTGCTATGATGCTCTTGCAGCCGGGAGAGAGCATCAAAAGCCTTGTTCCACTTGCAAGTTCTGTCTAGTTCATGCTTTAGCTTTCCTAGATCTTCTTTCAAGACTTTAATGAATTCATCTTTCTTGTATAATTCATCTTTCATTTTTCCCAAATTTTCTTCTAGAGTGAGGTATGTGTGATCAACATTCTTCTTTCATGTTCCTAATTTCAGTTTCAAGTTTTCAGACCTAAGCTCTAGGACACTGTTGTCAAGTTCAAGAACCTGGTTCTTCAACTCAGCATTTTTGTTATCACTCTCATTTGCCCTAGACTCTAGACTTTTACATTTCGCTTTTAGAATCACACATTCCCTAGATAGAACTTTCTTCTCATTATTAATTATCTCAGACTCATCAATGAAGTCTATTAATAGCTCGGCCAGCCTTTCTTTAGACAAGAATTTAATCTTGTCTTTGAGATGAAGAAATACTTACCTCTTGTTCATCATCTGATTCTCCGATGGCCATTAGTGCTTGCTCCTCCTCAGCTTCATCTTCTGAGTCTTCATTTGAGGTTTCTCCCCAAGCAGCAACCATAGCCGTGGTTGAACCTTTATTTTTCTTTGGTTGAACCTGTTCCTTTTTCCTGTTCCTTCATTCAGCTCTTTCTTTCTTCCACTCAATTTCCCATTGAGGGCAGTTTTTGATCATGTGGTCAGTCTTACCGCACTTGTAGCATCCCTCATTGGTCTGTTTCTCCGGAGCTCTTGTTTTATTGAAGTTTGTACCTCTTGAAGAACCCTTTCCTCTCATCAGGTACTTCTTGAAATCCCTAGTGATCATAGCCACTTCATCATCTTCCAAATCTGCACCTTCAGCAATTCTGAGAGCTAAGCTTCTCTCCTTTTTGGGGTATCCATCTTCATGGTTTGTCTCCTCATTTCATAGGCAGTTAAGTTTCCAATCAGTTCATCCAGTCTAAGGGTAGCAATATTCTTGGATTCCTGAATGGCAGTGATTTTGCTTTCCCATGTGACTGGCAGAACCCTTGTCAGAATCTTCTCAACCTTGTCTTCTTCAAGGATAATCCTTCCAAGAGATTCAAGTTCATTTGTCAAAGTGGTGAATCTAGTATACATCTCCTGGATAGTTTCTCCTTCCTTCATAGTAAAATTCTCATATTGAGAATACAGAAGTGTTCCTCTTGATCTTTTCACTTGAGGTGTTCCTTCATGAGCCACTTGCAGAGTGTCCCATATTTCCTTAGCAGTTGTATAGCTTTGGATCCTACTGTACTCGTCTGGTCCTAGTCCACATACAAGCCACTTCTTGGCCTTAGCATTTTTCTCCCACTTCCTCAGGTCCTCAGTAGTACAATCACCCCTTGTTTTTGGCACAACAATTTCTTCAGCATTCTTCTTAGTGGTTGCTAGGGGACCATCAGTGACTATGTCCCAAAGTTCATAATCTTCCCCTATAATGTGATCTCTCATTCTGTTCTTCCACCAAGAATAGTACTGACCATTGAAAAGTGAAGGCCTGGCAGTGGATTGCCCTTCCCAGTTCCCAGGTGATGCACTCATTGTTGATCTTCTCCTAAGGTGTTAGCCTCTTCAAGGATAACCTGCTCTGATACAAATTGATGTACTAGACGTCAATACCACACAAGAGGGGNGGGGGGTGATTTGTGTGGTACCTAATTTTCGCACTAGAAGAACCTGGTTCTTCTAGATGTACTTACTAAGACTGTTTGCGGAATTAAGAGTGCATAAAGTAAAGAACACAGAAACTTTTACGTGGAAAACACCTGGCTCAAAAGGTGAAAAAACCACGACCTACTACTCAGTAGGATTTTCCCAAGCTTCCACTAAAATCAATTAGCCAAAATTGCATTTACAAAACTCTTTGTAAACCTACAGATTAACTCTAATCCTAGTGTGGCACACAGCCTCAACTGCTGCGACACTTTCAAGTTAACTCTAACTTGAATACTCAAAGTACCTAGTACAATTGCTTCTATGAAAGCTGAAAAGTACAACTCTAAAACACCTACTACAATTGAACTAGATTAAAAGAAAGACACAATGGAATTGGTTCTTCTATCTTATCCAAGTAGCTTCAGGAATGCACACTTGAATCTCACGTAAATTGCTTGCAAAAAGCCTTGCTATTTTGCTATTCAATTTAGTTTCACTTATGCATTTGTGCAATCCCTGTAAAAGAGAACAAGCATTATTATTTATAGAGTTAGTAATCAGAGTTTGATTAAAACTCAAATTGCTGATCCTTCATCAAATTCGAGTCCTAGAACAATTCAAACTCCAATCCACTACAGGAAAATAGGTCTTTAGCGATGGGAAATTCGGTCGTTAAAAATTCAAATCCGGTCGTTATCAGTCAATTACGATGGGATAAAAACCGGTCGTCGCCGGTCGTTAGTGCCTCCGTCGTTAAAGGTAAATGACCGGATTTTGACCCTGTCGTAAAAACTCTTTTAACGATGGCAAGGAATCCAGTCGTTATACCCAGATTAGCGAGGGGATTTTTCCATCGTTACATGTCGTCCCTGTCGTTAAAAACTTCAGTGGCAGTAACTAATTTTCAGTCGTTGTTAGTGTTTGGCGACCGAAATTCCATTCGTTAATTGTATGTACTTTCAACGACATACTTTTTAAAAACCAAAATTTCCCTTCGCTAATGTGAAATTTTATGTAATAAATATATTACACGCATTCGAAATCATACAAAGAATATAATGAAGTCAATATTGAAATAAAACATCTTTTTTAATTATAGAGAACTAATCAAAGTAGCAATAATATTACACCCAAATTGCATGATCCTTGTTTTCAGTTCCTTAAAGAATACAAAAAATAAAAGAGAAAGTAAAATAGTAGTTTGTACAGATGACGACTACAACTCCTAATAAAACAAATTAGATTTCCCTTGTTCTTCAACTATTCTAGCTGCTTCAACTTGCTCGGAACTATCTTGAAGATTCTTCAAACTTCAGGATCTGTTAAAAAAGGTTCATATTAGTTGAGTAAGAAAACAAGATTTAAGTTAGTACATATAATGTTATACGAACAGAGAAGCTCCTTAGGCTGTATAGAATGAAGATATTGCAATGACATTCATATTTAGCTACGAAATAGAAAATGAAGATAAAAGAATAAAGAAAAGATTCTAATCACCTAACAATGCAAACGGAAGTTCATAGTTAATATGCTGGATATTATCTGATCTAGCTTTGAGAGGAGAAAACTCTTAAAAAAGGATCATTCTTTCCATTGTCTTTTTGTCATGCTAAACGTTCGTTGGTGATTTCAGATCTATAGCATGTTCTAGTCTCCATTTTCTTTGTAAAAATAGTAGAGGAGGTCAGACTCTTAATACAATGCATTACACCTTGAACCACATTTATAAGAATATAACCTTAAATCGTGAATTTCACGTTACATCCTTCTGTTTTTACTGCTTCATTTTTGGGGCCTCTATAAGCCAGCTGAAGTTTTCTCAGAAAAAGTAGGATAGCTTCTGTACTTACGCAGAACACCAAAATCAGAACTTCCATTTCTGTACTTAGTGGATTTTGAGCTTAATTAGCTGCTGTTTTAAATGCCTACAAGTGGAAATCCAACTATTGTCTTGTATTTTGATTTTTGTATATTATCAGATAGAACTTCAACTGCAGGCCTGAGGAAGCAGAGCTGTTTGCCAAATCTGCACAGCATGCATATACCCAATTCCGGGACAAGGCTGCCCTTTCAAGATCAATGACGGTATGCTACTGGTGAAGAGTACAGCTTAGAATGGAACAGTCATTACTTTACTTATAGTTGATTGAAAATACGAAGCACTGCATTTTAGGTGGACAAAATGGAGGAGGTTGCAGGATATGCTAATTGGAGATATACACTGTCTCCTTGGTAGAAAACAATACAGTAGGGAATATTGTCTCAAGAACTTTGAAACATAAACATGTAAATATATGAATGTACAGAGTGCAACACAAAGCACCATGGCCTTGAATGAAGCAAGCTAGCTATATTACAGAGGAATATCAGCTACTACTGTATTTACAAAGTCTGATATACCTCTAAAGAAAAGGAAACCAATAGCTCAAGGGAGAGTCTGGACTAGAAATGATGCTCTTTCACGAGGTCTAGTTGATGCTATCGGTGGTCTCTCTTCATCAAATAAAAAAACTTCGCAACCTCCCTATCTTATTATAATCATTTGAAACTGTTGATTCCCACTGCAAACAGGACACCCTCCCCACACATAAAACTCGTGAGCAAGACTTCAAACCACTAGCAATGCTTCAAATTCTCTATGGTAATTCTTCACGATCTAATCTTTTTGTTTGTTTCTGGTATTTGAATAAATGTCTCCCCTCTCTAACTACTTATGCTTTTAGTGGAGGTACCTTTAGTTTAACACCCATACATATATTTATGTGCCTTTTATTAACTCTTTCTAAAAACTTGTTCAATGTTTTTATTAATTATTTCCTACGTTTCTGCCACTACTGAACATATAACAAATCCATGTCTGCTTCATGATCAACATCGACAAAATTTCATTTGCAGGCTGCACAAGTTGCACTGCATGATGTGCAGGGAAGGTATTCAGGACTGGAACAAAGGCATTCAACTTTGGAGAAAGAGAAGGAATTGACGCTTCATGCAATGGAGGAGCTGAGGATTTCTTTAGATGCAAAAATTTGTGAACATGGCAGATTTGTCCACATGAGTGATGCACGGTTGGCTGGCATGGAATCAGAGATGCATCTTTTGCAGGAAGAATGTCAATTAACTAAGCAAGAGTTTGATAAGCTGCTTGAAAAAGCTACGGAGCCTGACATTCTCAACTTCACCTTACGGACATCCACCCTAGATCTTGAAGGAAAAGGTTCTTCTTTGCTGTGTGAGTATCAGAAGCTTTTTGAAGCATCTGCATTATCTAAAACTTTGATTTCTGATTTAAAGCAGCAGAATATTGAACAAAAAATGGAAATGAAATCCTTGTTTGATCAAGTTAGTACTTTGAGAAATGGGATGTTTAAGTTGCTGAAGGCTCTTGATATTGTTCCAAACCATGCATGTCAAGACAGGAAAGACCAAATACATCTTGAACATATTTTTCATAGAGTTGAAGTTGCTAAAGAATCATTCTACAAAACTGAGGAAGAAAATCACCATGTTTCTAATTTCCCAGGAAGAACCCTAATGAGGACAAGTTTAGGTGCATTATCAGTAATCAATTAACATAATCCTAATACTGGCCTCTCTAAGTGAAAAGAATTTCCTGTGATCTACTTGTGCTCCACGTGGAAAGTTGCTAACAATAAGAGATTGCTACAATGTCTCTCTTTAATGACTGGAATCTTATGTAGCCATGTTCGTTATTTATTCATCTAGTTCATATGAGGGTTTTGTGTGTTATCAGTATATCAACCATCACCCTTAACTTTTTTCCTTGAAGTGCAAGTTATTTGTATAAACAGTGTGGTGGCACTTTTCCATTGTGGCTTTCCTTGAAATTTCCACGGCAGTAGCCCAAATATTAGTTCTATTACTGTGGACAAATTGCTTACAAAGCGGGATAAAATATCAATGCAGCATGCTATTACACCAAACCAATATGGAATACAGGCAAAGGTTTTAAGGGGAAGCAGAGAGATGACACACATAAATGATCGTAAATATAGTGTACTGGTTCGTTGTTGTACAGTAAACTTACTCAACAGTATGCATGGCAGAACTATTTTTTCCTACATATGCAAGAGCTACTGGGAGGAAGAATGGAGCAGCAGGAATGGAAAATAGATCTGGACTTCAAATCTCAATAATGTTATACGTTCAAACAATGAATCTGAGATGCACATATCTAATTGGATTTCAATATTAGAGTAACTGTACGTGTGTCAATGTCAGTACTTTATTTAACTAACAACAAAAGACTTCGCTAAATTTATTTAAGGATATTCATCAGGTCATAGTTGGTAGAAAGCTTACGAACCTGTAAAAATATTAATTTTAGCTTGTACTTTGTTGACTTGAAGATGGTGCTGATGAAGGTTGATCACCCAGTAAGCTTATAATATGTGCATACTTAGAATCTATGTCATCCATACGTATTTCTAGTGATTCTTTTGCTTTTTTAGTTGCATTCAGCTCGATCTGTAGTGATTCTTTTTCTTTTCGAGTTGCATTTAGCTCAGCCAGTATTGCAGTCTTTGAGGAGCTACCGCCCTTTCAACTCCTTAGTGGTTATACCACCCCCTAATCTAACCACGTGACACTTGTTTTGAGGTCCGAAGCATCTTTCTACTACCTCGATATTCGTAAGAGATGGCTCAGATTGTACCACTTCTTGTATCTCAGCCTATAAAATACAAGAAAAATTAAAATAACAAAATACATCAAAACAAAATGAAGGATGTAAAATGAAGTTCATCAATAAGCATACATATTTTTTACTAGCTTCAGGTTCTACAAGCGTGTCATTTTTCTTGTGAGTCTCAAAGAAGATAGTCGCCATGTTCGATGGATTACCGTCTTAGCCTCCCTTCACATTTAAATAAACAAATCAAACAAAGAAGAGTTTTTTTTAATAGGATTGCACTGTGCACTTACCAGTTCGTAAATAATTTCTCTAATCGGCTTGCTACCCGTACGATGAGGCATTCTCAACTTAGACCTATTGATCGAGTTTCTAATACTTGTTTCCTATATTAAGAACAAACCATTAAAATCATGAAGTGTTACTTACAATAATAAGAAGTTAAAAGTAGTTATGAAGTCTTACCTTAAATTTTTCACTTAAAAAATGTTCCTTGACCAACCATTCCCAATCACTCTTGTCTATCTCCTACCGGACTTTTAGTGCTTCATGCAATGGCTTAGACTTCACATACTTGTGCAATGATCCTCTCCAATTGGTCTATAACTTTCTCATATGATTTAACACATGATCTCTTTGATGATTCATGTCATCACTGTAAAATTTGTCCTAAATATTTTGCAAAATCATTAATCAACAAAGTAAAAAATTTCATGTACAATAAAAAAAAATGGATATAGTCCACATTATTTCATATTCAAAGTTTAGAACACGTACTAGGTTCAGTTAAGATCTCTAAGTTTCATCAACGAACCTAACATCTGTAATAGTTACATTTAGAGAGAAAAAAAAATGTGTATGCACAGAGACAAGAAACAAACAAAAGCAAACAAAAGACAATGTTCTGTTTGCAAACAAACAGACACAAGCAACAATTTCAAACTTTATAAGAAGAATCAGAACCATCAAATAGGAGAGACAGGTATCAATCGAGTTTGCAATCAGGAATTGTGCAATCGAGTTTGCTGCTTGCAAATTCAGGGGCTCAATTTGCTTAGGGAGAGGAGCCAGCTTTGTGGAAAGCTAATGGAGTACACAAAGGCGAATGTCAAACAAAGTGGTGGGGGAATTGACGGTCAATTTTTAATTGAAAGCAATGCAAAAATCCAGGGTCTTAAGAGGGGAATTGAGACTTTGACTAGCAGTTTGCAGACAGTGTCATCTGTGATAAATGAGAACCCAATGCATTCAGATTCTCAGCCATCTGTAAGTTGGTGTTATTATTTCGCAAGCTGCTAATCATGCAATGTGGAATTGAGGCATCGGTATATCATTGCAGAAGCTAGACATGCAGATTTTAGCTCTAAAGACAATGCTGACCGGCTCAATAGTGGCATTGGAGTTTTATCGTTACCTGTTACCACCAAGGATTCTATTTTCAAGGCTCCAACTCAATGAAGAACTATTACTGCTCCAACGAATATACACTAATTTCATAAGATGTGCAGGGATCTGAACATAAATACAAGCCCAAGGAACAAATCACAAAGTAACACATGCAACATACATATCACCAATTAACTACTGAAGCAAACAAATGGATTGTGACCTCAAGCACGGAAAACACGATCCTTAACAAATTTTTCTCATACTTGTTCAACACACAACAATCATAATTTCCTATAAACTCAGAGAAAAACAAAATCATGACGGAAGCACAACAATCAGAATACGTACAAATACCACCAAAAATCTCCGTTGTTCCAACTAAGGCATACGCATCGTAATTCATATAAGCAAAAAAAAAAAAAAAAAAAAAGCAAAAAGCCTAGCACAGACATAAACACAAAAAGTTGAAAGCTTATAAGCTGAAAATGCAAAAAAAAAAAAAAAAAAAAAAAAAAAAAAAAAAAAAAAAAAAAAAAAAAAACAAAGCCAGCAATAAGTGCAGAGAACAACACCCAATGCAACAATTCACTATGAAAATAGCAGAGGATCAATAAGAACGCGCCATCTGTTAAGAAATGCAGAAAAATGAATTACAATGCAAATGCAATGCAGATTTGTTAAGAAATGGGACAATCAGAGGTAAGAAGGATGCGATAACTGCACTCTTCAATTTGTGTTTTAATTAGCATAGATTCATCTTAGCAGGGGAACGGAAATAGAATAAGATTGAGTGAAACTAATTGGAGAAATGCAGAAAAATGAATTACGATGCAAATGCAATGCAGATTTGTTAAGAAATGGGACAATCAGAGGTAAGAAGGATGCGATAACTGCACTCTTCAATCTGTGGTTTAATTAGCATAGATTCAGCTAAGTAGGGGAATGGAAATAGAATAAGATTGAGTGAAACTAATTGAATATAAGATGCAACAGATCATGTGTGGTATTAGCATTGATTTGAACTGCTTTAACGAAAATATCCAGCTACCATCAGCATATCTAACATAGACCATAAATAGAGTGGGAACCGTAATAGAAATTTAAAGTACTTCCAACTAAAATATTGCTTTAAATGCTTACCGTAACAGCTCGCCACATGTGTTCCAACTTATCTTCTCCGATGTTCTTCCATGAATATACTTGCAACGGACACATATTACGATCACGAACTAATATACCCAAGTGTCTCGAAAATGAGGCTTGATGCTTCCCAACAACCCGATTGTGGCAAAAAACCTCTTAGTAAGATATTATTTATTTTTTACCCTTTAAAAATTTATTTTACACTAGACATGATTATAATTTCATTAATTTTTTAATATTGAGGAAACCCACAAACACAATATTTTGAAATATTAAAAATTTATATAGTATTTTGTATTAATTAAAGAACAAGAACAAGTTGTATTTGCTTGCCAGAAGGAAAAAATTAAGAATCTTGTGAGTTAGCTGACATGTTGTGTCTTCTAGAATGAACTTATGAATACATTTGAACATATAACTCTTCAATATTTTTTTACGAAAAAGCTCTTAAATCTTCAAAGGCTATGTGTTCTAACTAAAACTAAAAAGGAAGCATGATAATTTGTAATGTCTAAACAATAAAATGATTAAAGTGAGATAAATTTCAAGTTGAATATATTAACCGAGATAACTGATTACCTTTTGTGAGGTAATGTTTCTTTCTTTATTGAGTTAGTTAAAAGGTAAAGTTTCTTTCTTTATTGAGTTAGTTAAATAGGATCGACATTTGTCATTTTCAGGAGTTTATATTTTCTCCTTAACTTTTATTTATTAGTCAAAAATAATTTTTCATATAATATTTATGTACTTTTTCAAATAATTTGTTTTCATTTAGATAGGATTCACGCGCAACGCGCGTATCCTAAACTAATTATACTAAAAGTATGAAGCTCCTAACGTCAAACTTGATTTACCAAAATGCGCATAAAAAATTGGATACACATTTTATCCAATCAAAAACATTTTACTTTATAACCAAATGCTACCACAATAAATGTATAAGTTACTAAACTTCTTTTCATGTGCAACGTATATGAGCATTGAAAATGGAAATAGTAACAGAACTACGTGGGTAACATTGATTCAAGCAATCTTGAATGATATATAATTACTACTTATTTATTGCTATTAGTGATGGTAAGTCATATAAAAAAGTAATTTTAAACTCTATATAGTAAGGAAATAAAATATATTGACAGGCTCAGAGTCTCTTCTCCTCCTCCATTCTTAGAATTACTACATTCAATGATGACCATCTCATTTTACAATTTATGTGAATGTTGGATTGGTCTATATGGAGTGAAGAAAAGCAAGTAATTAGTGAAAGTGACACTACTGTGGAGCAATATGCGCTATGATTTTGGTGTTGATTCATGGCTCGTGAAAATCATCAAACAACAATTAAGAGCATGCAGAGGCTAATGATGAGCCACTTTCAGTAGCTAAAACTAAAAATGTTCAGAGGTCAACCGATGAAAAGTAAGTTCGGATCTAGTGTAGTCTAGAATAGAAAAGAATAAAGTTAATGGCTGATATGCTTCGTGAGGAATCTGGATTGTTATTTGCATAACTAAAGGCCCCATCTAGCTTTAAGTTTTATCCAATTACATGTTCTTCTAGATTCTGGCCAGCTTCCATGTACTATGTTTGTTATCTTTTATCAAACTCTATTGCTTTTGCTAGTAAGAAGTCTTATTTTTTCACTAAAACTTCCAAGAATACTGAGAAAAAGAAGAAAAAGAACAAGAAAAATCAACATGATGGAAAAGCAGTTACAAAGGTTGAACAAAATAAAAAGAATGAATAACACGAGGTGGAGGAAAATGAAGCGACTAAGTCTTCTCAATTGAGGACTATGGAAATCGATTGGTCATAGAGGAGTTGGCAATGGGCAAGCCGGATGGGAAAAGAACTTTCCCAGGAAGTAAAGTATAGTTTTCTTTTTTTGACTCTATGTGATAAATTGTTCTCTCACTCTTCCATGGAAAGTAATGAAATTTTGGTAGTCACAATTAAGTCAATCAGGATTTGAGTTTCTCAATCTTTGAGTTCTTTTTGATAAACTTGTACGGAGCACACTTGTTATTAATAACGATTTTCTGCCACTAAATAGGTTGGTGTACGCTATATAGGCAAGCTGAAGAAGAATGATAAAATATTCGATTCCAGCATTGGGCAAAGAACACCTTCTGAAACAAATATGATTTTACTTTTTTTTTTCATACAGGCAATGCAGAGCCACATGTAATCAAATGATTCAATTGAATTCGCTACGCCGAAAAATTATAATGTGCAAATAGGAGACAAATTTTTTGTACATATATAAAAGTTTGAATTATGTGTAAATTCTCAATCACCTTATAAGAATTTCTAGCTGCAACGTGTATAGGACCTCTCTCGCAAACTATAACAGATTAAGAATCCGAAAATTTTACCTATCGTGCATTATAATAAGAAGCATAAATAGGCAGAGAAAGCAGAAGATGAGAAAACAACAACTTTAATGGAAAGCAGTTGGTTCTGTGAATTGAAAAATTGCAAGAAATATACTGGAAACAGAGCAATTATCATATAAATCTAGCAGGTGACGATTTGAAAAGCAGAGAGATAACAAAAAGCTCAATTTCACAATAATTGCAACTACAAATTTAGCGACTTGAGTTTACCTTGACGAGAAAGCACAGCAAGAAGACCAAATCGTATAAGCTGCGTTGACAGAACCCACAACTCAAGTATAAGCACAGCAAGTAATAGAATCCAGCTATTGACAGAACCCACAAATCAAGTATAAGCACAGCAAGTAACAGAACCCAGCTATTAGCGTTGACACCCAGCTATTAGCGTTGACACAGATTCACCACAAAGCACACAAATTATAAGCCGCATACAGCAAGAAGACCAAATCGTTTTGTGATTTTTCGTTGAGTTTTGCTCTCTCTCTCTCTCTCTCTCTCTCTATATATATATATATATATATATATATATATATATATAGTGTTAAATCATCGCTAGAACTCGCCGATAGAGTAGCGGGCAGTTGCAGTGAGGGCCGATTTGTTCGTGATTCTTTGTATCCTCTTTGCTGAATCTGGTGTATGTGTTTTGGGATAATATTAGAGTGAGAGATTTTAGGGTTTTTTTGATTAATTTGGGGGATATGGGCGGAAGTTGTTGAGGAAAAAAAGGAGGGAATAATTAGCGCCTAAATTTTCATTTTGTTCAGATTTAATAACGAGGGGATTGACACAATTTGAAAGACCGGAAATTATTCCCTCGTAAAAAATACAGTAAAAAATATCTTTTACGGCCGGAATAAATATTGGCCGCTATAAGCATACATATAACGATTGGATTAATTTCCTTTCGTAAAAAAGTGGTCGTTAAAGACCTATTTTCCTGTAGTGATCCTTATTCTTGATCCGGATGTAGTTCTCTTCACATAAGGAGACTTCAGCTCCTTATCCTATGCAACCTTTTCAATTAACTCAGAAGAGATTGTTGCTGACCCTTGAGACTTATCTTCACACGTAGGTCACATGTATAAGTATATCAACACTGTGTCTGTCTCACATGATGGACCTGGTTCATGACTGAGTTCATTTTGTCAATCTTCAAAACTTCATCTGAACTTGGGCCAACAGAATGTTATACTAAACTATCCGCCATTTCATTAGGACAACACTTTCTTAGTCTTTTTCTAGCTTGATTGCGAAGCATGGTTTGGAAAGGTCAGCTGAAAGACAGTATATATCAACATTCAAACCTATTCCTTTATGGTTGGCACCAGTGCTTAACGTCAGGTTCCCTCCACACACATATGAAAAGTAAGCCAGCCGTATTAGCTCATCAACTCGCCTTAACACACCCTCACTATATAGGTGCGGACTTGCGTACGGTATCACTTGCCTAACAGTTGCCAAAAGCGGTAGCTTCAATGTTGACGGGCTTATTGTCTCCTTTGTTATCTTAAAAAAGGGAAAATAAGAGAGGGATCACTCCCCGAGCAGTCACTAACCGTTGCGCCTTCCCTTCTGCTTACACCATTTCTTTGTAAATGCTCCGCTTTGCTCTTTGTCGCGCTACTTCCGCTAGCAACCAGCTTCGGATTCTCCTTAAGGCACCGTGTTGAGTAGGGATTTGAATAAAAACTCTATTTTGCGGCTCAATGTTGCTGGACTCTACTCCTCTCCCCGGGCTCGCTCCGCTCTATGCCCAAAGCTTCAACACAATCAGTTGGACAGAGGGATTTGACCTACCAACTGCAGGCTCGGGTGCGAGAACGGTATCCATTGCCTGACCACCCGCTTACTAAAAGAATGTATCATGATGAGAATTAAAGCAGTCTTGTGAATGCCCAAT